ACACACACACACACACACACACACACACACACACACACACACACCGCTTGTCCCTGTGGACGCCACCTGTGTTGTGGAAGTTCATAAAGTTTTATGATCTCCTAAAAGCTAATTTCCTCGTAAAATGTACAAAGGTCACAAATCTTATGAGGATAAGCTTTGCTCATTAGTTTTTTTTCTTTGTTTCTGAGTTATTTTTTTTCCCATGATAAAAACATCTAACAGAGAGGAAAAAAGCTGATATTTAATATTACATTTGTTCAACATATTTTTTTTATTTTGGATTAGAGGAAAAAAATAAATATTAATCATTTTCGTTATGATCTGTAAATTAAAAAGAAAGCTCACATGCAAAAACATTTTTTATTCCAGGTTGTGAACTATGCTGTTTGTTTATACATAGTGTGTAAAGGGTAAGTAATCAGGTTTGTGGAATATAACTTTTTTTTAATTCTATTTATTTTTGAGCTTTTGGAATCACACAGTGTAAAACGTTAATATTAGTTGTGTGTTTGTCATTGTGCAAGTGAAAAGGGTTTTCAATCCTGGTTATTAAAATACAATTAAAGTAAAACTTTAATCCTAACCAATATTAGATCATTTAAGTTTAATTCTAAATAAACTAACAAGCAGATTTTCTATTGTTCTAACATCACAAAAATTACATTTTTAAAACAGAGTCTCTGTAGAGTTACACTTCAATTACAGATTCATAGTCTCCTTGAAAGCGTAGTAATTGTTGTCATGTTAGAAAGCATGAATTCTGTGTGATCTTAGCTGTGTGAAGCATATGTTGTGGGATTTCCTCATCCTGTTCTGTGCCAGGGTGCTGGGACTGAACTCTTTCTGTTTCAATTCCAACCAACAGTGCTGTGAGAGACACTCCTGCAGGTACAAGAGCATCTTCAGAGGAAACCCAATCCACTCGCTGCACTGTGACAACAGAACTGTTCCCACTTGGCACTGAGACATATTTAAAAAAGGTGATTGATTCATGTGGGCAGAGGTCCCCCCCAGCATCCGGAATGCCATCGGATCACTCGGTCACAATAATCCTTGTGAGGCACGGATCTAAATTTCTTGGAAAGACTGTACTATAGTTTTAGATCAAGACTTTTTTTCAGGTCTGAAATAAAATAATAATAAAAAATCTTACCTGTCTTTTCTTTGATTTCGCAGAGAACGCTGAAGAGTGCTGGTTTCATTCTGTGACAGTTCAGTCCATGTTTCCTGTTTCAGTATTAGAAAAGCAAAACAAAACACTCAAATAAGTTCACTGATAAATCCAAAGCAGACATGAAAAAGTTACTGAAAGTTAGCCTGTCATCCTTTGTGTCATCATACATCATCACACTTTTATCAAAAGCTAAACTCCTCAACACATTGTCACATTTTTAAATATAAATGTTGCTTCTACAGTTTATTTTTAACAACCAATGGGATGAGGTGCATTTTTACACCAGTTCAATTCTTTTTTGTAAACACTTTAAAAGGACTTTTCTCCCAGGTTCATGCAGACAAATAAAACTCTGCTGTCCTCTCAGTAACTTTGTCATGTGTTAAAGCTGTGTGAGGCCAAACAACAACAACAACACGAAGAAAATCCTCCAGAGGGTAATGTCCCGGCCAACACAGCCCTTAATGGAGTTCAGGTAAATCTGACCACATTTCATGATTGAGACCTGGAGGAGGGTGTGTGTGTGTGTAGAGGGGGGGTGAACTTATTCACAAACAAACAAACATATAAATCAACCAACTTTGCTTGCGCCTCGTCCAGGCTCTGATCGGTTATGGTCATGATTTGATGCAGGATGTCACCGATGTCCTGCTTCCTGCCGTCCCCGTCCGTCCCGTCGTGGCCGTGTGGCGGCGGCAGCGGCATGCCTCCCTGCACCGAGTGTCCGGCCAGACTGACGCCGCCAATCGACTGCATGATCCGGGCCTGATCGTCCATAGTAGACGCTAAAGAGTCTGTGCACTGAGCCACGCAAATTGAAAAACTCATAAATACGAAACCGGCTAGAGCATGTGCCGCACAGACTGGATGGGTGGATGAACAATTGTAAGAAGTGCTCAGCGAAAAATAAAAAAAATATATAAAAACAGTACTTTATTTTTATATATATGTAGAAATCAACTATATGGCAGGAAAGGGTTTGGCGTAAATCTCGTGCCCAACTTGTCCTCCTGTTGTTGTTGTTTTTTTACGCGCGGTCCTAAGTGCCAAAAGCCGTGGCGCACGGATTTGCAGCAAAAAAAAAAGCGCATCAATCTTTTCTTCTCCTACTGAAAACTTCTTATGTCAGAACCAACGCTCCATCATCATCTTCTTCATCATCATCGGCAGCATCATATCCCCGCACCAGTCCGTCTTTTCTCGCTCGGCGTGGACAGAAGCGGTCCTTGGTGCTGGGCTCTCATTTACTTAGCGCTTCTTCGCGGGGATCTCCTCCTGGAAATGTCCACAAATCCACTGAAATATCCCAACGTTGGAATGTGTAAACATGTAAAAATAATAGTAATCGTAATAATATTTGCAAAAGAAAAAATAGAAATAAAAAAAAAAACAATAACAAAAAGAAATCTCAGCCTTGGTTGCAGGTGTCGCCAATATTTAAAAAAAAATGTAGTACAAGGTGTCCAAATGATCATATAAAAAATATGAAATGTAAAAAAAAAGTTCTATTTCTTTTAAAGAAAAAAAGCAGCAACAGCGAGATGAAATTAATTAGGACACAACGCTATAAAAGGAAGGGGGAGAAAAAAAGAAGAAAGAAGGCGATGCGCAGAAAAATCTCTTGCCCTGCTGAAATTTATGAGCTGCAGCCTCTGAGCCTGTGTGTTTTATGTTGTTTGATGGCAGCGCTAGTGAGCGATTGACAGTGTGCCAATGCCACTCACTCAGTCAGTGCAGACGTGTCAGAGCAGGGTACAGGGGGAGGAAAAAAAATAGGGAAAAAAAAAGAAAAGGAAAAAAAATACAAAATGAAAATGCACGCTCCGCCCTGCAGAGGAGGGGTCTACAGTCTTGTCACTTCTTCGCCTGAACACCGAAAAACAAAATGTTAAGAGCTGGTACTTAGGATGGTGATTATAATGATGAAAGCACGGCAGAGTCCCCCCTCTCCCTCGCGCTCTCCCTCTCTCTCTCTGTGTTTCTTGCGGCCGCGGATCCTCGTTCCCTGACGCGCGCGCGGCCAGCTGCGAGCATTATTCCCTACCAATAATAAAGATTTAGCCGCGCCGCGCCGAAACACATGATGTGACTTTTCATACAGTTTGATGTAGAACTGCGCGGCCGCCTGCGAGCCTCGGATCGAGCCAGGCTGAGCAGGAGACATGTTTATATTATTGCAAGTGCGTCTCCTTGACCAATCGCCGGCCGGCAGGACGGAGACTGACGATCCGTCTGTCCTATTACTGGCAGATGCATGATGCCGAAAGCCCACCCACTCCATCCCTCCATCTTCGAGCTGCTTGTGCAAAGGAAGCAAAAAAAAAGGAGGGGGGGTGGGATGGGAACTTCTGATTGGTCGTTGCCAGGAGTGACAGCCATTGCACACGCGGGCGGGCGCTGATCGGTGCTCCTCCGCAGTTGCTATGGCAGCAGACAAGTTGTTAAGCTGGATGCAAGGCAACAAAAATACAGTTCACTTGTACTGTACGCATCTACATCACTGATTCATAAAGGGAAAATAGTTTTATTTTATTTATTTTTACGGGACTGTTTCAGTCTAAATGGATTCTTTAAATGGACTGATGTGGGATGAAAGAGACAGGCTTTGTTTTAGTGGAGTTTAGGGAACCGCAGCACTTTTTTGTTAATCAGAGTCTTGTGCAGCAAAAGGCCTTAAAGCTTTTCTTTTTACATTTACATTGTTGATCTTAAATGGGTAGTTTGGTGATTTTGAAGTGATGTTTTGTCATAGTTAATCAGTCACAGACGAAGAATGAAAGAAAGAGAAGAGAAGAAGTTTTCCTACAGGTGTCTTTTGTTTTCTTTTTCAGGTTCATCAAATAACTTTTTCCTGCTATGCTGTATTTTTAATGATGATGATGATGATGATGATGATGATGATGATGATGATGATGATGAAAGCCTTTATTGTCTTCGTTTGCAGAATGAAATTACATTTAAGAGCATTTTAGAGCCAGTGTCAGAGCAGTGTGAACTTGGGATTGCATTGATATCAAAGTCCCCCTGATCCTCCCAACTCACTGGTCCCACTGTCAATCACAGCATGACTCTTTTTTAAAATGTGTGTGTGGTGGTGGTGGGTGGTGGAAGCAAAATAGACTTTTTAAACTTTATATCATGTTATAATTATCTCATCAAAACCATGACCATAGTGTTGCTTTGACACATTAATGCACATGTAAGAAATCTTTGAATCCTGTGGTAGCCATGTAGCTGCCTAAACAAAGCACTGCCTGTTTGTACAAAGATTCTCCCTGGAACTCCACAGTTGAGCTCCCACCCCAAGTGTTATCATGAAGACGTGCCAGTCAGTAATGGTAGGTCTCTTTTGATGTGTTTAGCAAAATCAAATTTATTTGTATTTATACAGCATTTTCATAATAACTGAGATTAATATAGTTGACTATATGTGCCTGGAAAATACATAACTGCCCCCCCCCCACACACACACACACAACACAGCCTCAAATAATTTATTGAATCTGAGCAAAATAAAACATATTTAGACACACAGCAGCATGAACGAGTGAACAAAAAAATCAACACCAGAAAAAAGTAGTTTGAGTTGTATAGCGGGGCTGGACCTGAAAATTATACAGCAGTCAGCCACTGGGGGGCGGTGCTTTGTGGCTTCAACTTCCATCTTCCAGTCCTGTGTTTAGTCATATTAAACACTGGTGATTATAAAGTACCTCAAAGTGATACTTGAGTAGAAGTACAACAATCTTACTCAGAAATCACTTTGGTAAAAGTTAAAGTCTCCTCTAAGAACATTACTTGATCAAAGGTCTTAACGCATCTGATACTTTTGGTGAGAATCAAAAGTTAATTTCTGTTACAAAATATACTTAAGTATTAAAAATAAAAGTAATGAGTTAAAGTAAGCAGTTAAATTTTCCAAAATGACATTTATTGGGAGGTGATCTCCCATCAAAAAAATAATAATAATGATAATAACAATAACAATTAATTAAAAATTAAGGTCATAATGATTACAATGTTATAATAAACTTGTAATGTTGAAACATTTGGGATACACACTATTTCAGCTGCATATACTGTATGTCTCTTTCACAGTCATCTACATACTAACTACATGTCCTGCTGGCATGTTACATGAGGTGTGTAGGTGTAATGATTTATATCACAATGGTGTACATTTATTCTTTTCATTCAACCACAATTAAATTCAATCTATCTGGGAGGTATACAAAATATATAGATGATTTTTAACAACAACAACAACAACAAGCCAGAATGAAAACAAGCCTAAATGAAATTTGAGTAACAACTTTTTTACGTCTTAGTACGTGTTTTTAAAAAGAAATTTAAGAAGTAAAAAGTAAAAAATAATTGTACGAAAATGTAGCAAGTAGAAGTAAAAAGTTGTCTGAAAAAATAATTACTCAAATGAAATATAGATAACCAAGATTTCTACTTAAAGTAACAAAGTATTTGTACTTTCATCAGCCTGAAGAGACAAACATTTGCACAGCAAAACTGATGTTATTCAGTTGAGAAAAAAGGCAACACAATAAAGAATTTATATAATTGAAAAATGCATACATAATAGCTAATGTAGAGCTCTTTCACATCAGTTTGTCATTTTTGAACCAGAGTTCTTTTAAAAGCCTAAAAATATCTATGGGCCCACGGTTTTGGCTAGCTGTTAGCCTTGCCTGGAGGAAGATTTCTGCCACTTTCTCCATGATCTGTGACTGATGTCACTGCTCAGAAGGTGCTGTTTACATTTATCTGACAGAACATCACTTTAAAAGCACATTTCTCAAATAAAGAATAGAATATATGTTGTCATTTCTCCATAAACCAATCTTCGGAGAATCAACGAATTCTTTTTACATAGTTTGGAGTTTCTTGTTTCAGTCAAACTTAATACTCTGTCCTGCTTTAAGAGAAAGACGTAGAAAGAAATTCAGTATGTTTAAAGAAAAGCACAGCAGTCAGCAGTATACCTGGGAAATCTTGTTTCTGTCTACAGGTTTTATTTTTTATGAGGGATTTTCGTGTCATTTTAAACTACTACACTGATGTGACAAAAGGGAATCAGAGTCCACAAGGACTTGATCCTCGTGGAGCGCAGTTTACTTTGAGGCACTTTAGTGTTTTTTTTTTTTTTTTTTTTCAGTCATGGTGGAAGCTTTAATTTTCTGTTAAAAAGTGGTTTTGCTTGTTGGTGCAGCACATTTTTTAACAGGCTTAGATGTTTTATTTTCTACACAACAAAATGTTGCTTTGCTTTTTGAGTACTTTTGAGTTTTTGTCTCAGTCACGAAACACATTATCGTTCTGACACATCGTATTCTGCGTCTTTCAGCTGTCTCTATGCTGCACTTTATGTTACAGCTGGGTTAGATAGGCTAATGGCAAAAATAAATGTTTTTTCTGAACTGAACACAAGTTTTTAAAGTCACACAATTATCCAAAAATATATGGTACATTATGAAAACACCTAAACTTAAAAGGAACCAATTTGTAAAAAACATTATTACACATGACTTTGTGTTAGAGCAGCATCTCAGACATAACAGCTGTTGGTTGTTTGTATTTATAGTAATTATATTGTATTTAGACAGGGAGATTATAAATTAAAATAATCCTTTTGTCACTGATAAAAAGTTGTTTTTAATAAACAATTTATCACATTACATTGCATTCTTCAGTACCATAAAAAACATTTTATTCAGTCAAATGACTGAGTTCAGTGCACCAATAAAAATATGACTATAATAAATATCAGTCTTAATGAAATATCTGTCATGTTATAGTTAGATCAAAAAAGCGAATAGTTTCAAAAGATAATTCTTCTTAAAGAATAAGATCATTGGGATATGTGGGAACTTTGAAAAGAAAAAAAATAGTACAGACTTTACTTAAAATTACAATTTAACTAATATTTGTGTCTGCAAAATAGGACGACATCAACCAATTGCTATCCCTCTGCCATCCAGAAATAAAAGGGCTAAAAATGTAACTATAAGAGAGATTGAGTGGTAATGAGAACATATTTAATGTAACAAAATTGTAATTCTTATCCCCACAAGAGGAAGTGATACAGGAAGGGAAGACTTGAATCTGGTCCAGAAACAATCAAACAATAAACAATCAAACGTTAGATAAAAAAGTAAAAAGAAGAAAGCTGACATGATGTAAACAAAGCTGAAAAACAAGAGGTTAGAAAGAATATCGATAACCTAAAGAGCAAAGACACGAATTATAAAGGAAATATTTGAACCCTACAAAACTTAAAGGGGCAATATCATGTAAAATCAACTTTTTTGAGTTTTATATCATAATGTTACACTCTCATAAAAAAAACATGCCCAAAGCCTTGCTTTGACTCATTCATGCATGTTTGAGAAATCCTGCAGCATTTTTAGGAAGCCATGCAGAGGAGGAAAACGACAGGTGGGGACCAGAAACGCCTTTTGGTAACAGAAACGCCTCTGGGATGTGTCTTTAAGCCGAACTTCCTCATGGAACCCCCCCCCCCCCCCCCCACGGGAACGGGACGGTATGGGGCAGGAGCAGGAGGAGGTTCTTAAAGAGACAGAGGCCAATTTCAAGGCGTTTAGAAGAGGAAGTGATGAGAAGATAAGTTTATTTTCTGTTTAAACATAAAAACAACATTTTAATAACCACTAAAGGTGACATACATACTTTATTAATGTATAGTATTTAAATATATGCCTGAGAAACATAATATTGGCCCTTTAAAAAACAAAATTCAATTACATCTAGGCTGTATAATTAATGTATTCAATTTGAGGACATTACTACAGTTAAAACATCTCATAACATGCATAAACTTTAAATCAGAAATCCTACTTTCCTCATAAATTTTTCAATGTCTAAAAAAGTCGATTGAGTTTGAGATTTGCATGTTCCTGCTCCATGGTTTGACCTTGACGTGTGGGAGCAGCACACTCTTGTGTTTAGTGAATCGAAGTCCCGGGACTACTGCATTTATCATTGAAATACTGAGCTGTCAAGTCACACTACATACCTGTCAAAAAGGGCTCAAAGGTACAGCTCCAGCTCCTCTCCTCTCTTGCAGTGCATGATTCTTCATTGCATTGCGTAG